GCGCTACAGCAGAAAAGGCTCTCTGCCTAGACCCCACCAATCGAAATTCCCTGACCGGTGGAGTCTGCAACCTGCCCCTTCTTCTGGACTGAGTGGGACGGGCTGAAGTGACCAGGGTGAGGCGGTTCCTCAGATAACCTGGTCCTGTGCAATGAAGGGCTTTAAAGGTGATGACCAACACCTTGAATGGACCCCAAAAACAACCTGATAACAAATGCAGCTCGCGCAACAGCGGTGTTATACGTGCCCTCCTAGGGGCATTAAGAACTGTCCGCGCCGCCGCATTCTGCACCAGCTGTAGCTGGTGTTGTAGGGGCAATGTGATTTATGCTAACATGATTTCCTCCCAGCTCCAAGATGAGAGGAAAGCACAGTAAAGTGTCTGATTGCATGAACCCAGATCTTGAGTACAGTGAGAATGAGGCCATGTGTCTGTGCATTAGGGACATATCTGCATATATGGGTCAGTGGTCACACTGAGAGATGACTTGATCCTGCATCTTCTGTTGCATGTTATAATTCTTCTATGTCATCATTTTGTGGCTGAGGAGCTAAAGCAGACATCTTTCTTTTTGAAAGACATGCAAGTGTGGTTGATATAGTTCATATCAGAATTATTCAACTTTGCCTCCTGTTTGCAGTCAGCTTACATATAGAACAATGAATCTATATTAAGCCGGAAGTATTTGCCACAGTGCTGATGAATGTGCATGAGGATTTTGTTTTGCCCCACCCTACCAGTGAGTCAGAGGTAGAAGAAAGACCGGGTTAGTTGGAATGCTGGAACATTGAGCTGGAACATTGATCAAAGCCAAGATTTATTTCAGCAGAGACAAAAACTTTTGGGTAGGAAAAATGGAAGAATATAATTTTTGAATTATATGAATGAATATAAGATAGTGATGTATATGTATATGAATATAAGATTGTAAGGATGTATATGAATATAAGATTGGGATGTATATGTAGAATGAATATAAGAATGAATATGAGATTGGGATTGACATGAATATAAGATTGGGGGGAATACTAGGCACTAGTGTGTGCAAAAAGGATGTGGGCATCTTGATGAATCACAAGCTGAACATGAGGCAACAGTGTGATGCAGCTGCAAAAAAATGCAGTCATAGGCTGTATTAATAGAAGTGGAGCATCTAGATGAAGTCAACTCACTGTTCCTCTCTATTCTTCATTGGTCAAACCATACCTAAAATATTGTGCCCAATTCTGGGTAAATTGCATTTTAGGAAGGACATTGGTAAATAAAGTATGTCCAGAGGAGAGCAACCTAGGTGATAATAGGCCTGTAAGGAAAAACCTATAAGGAACAGTTGGAGGCATTGGGTATGTTTAGTCTGGAGAAGAGAGATTGCAGGGAAATATGGTTCTTCGCCATCCTACCAGAGATGGCAGGGTAGGCATGCTGTAGGTCCCTTCTGTGAAACAATGTCATCTAGTGGGAGCTAGGACTGGCCTTCCCCCATCTGAGATCCAGATGGCCCTGACACTTTTGGCTTTCTGGAAGGCCTTAAAGACCTGGGTTTTCCCTTGAACCCAGAGTCCAAGATATTAGTAGAATCCAGTGTGTGGTTGTGTTCTGTGCTGCAAGACAGTTTCATGAGAAGCCTGTTATTTTTAATTACATGTCACCTTATAAAGCTTTTATTATATGCTTTTTTATTTTATGCACATGTTGCTACTCAGAGTTATTTGGTTAAGGTGGGCAGCCATATAGATTCTATAAATTTAATATATAAATAAACACGATAGTTGTCTTCCGCTATCTGAAGATCAGTCTTGTAGGCAATAAGGCAAAATTATTTGGAGTTTTCCAAAAGACAAGAGAAGAAATTGCAAGGAAGTAGATTTCATTTGGATGTCAGAAGAAAAATCCTGATGGTCAGAGCTGTTCCACAACAGAATAGAGTGCCTCAGAGAGTGAGGGGCTCCCCTTTACTAGAGGTGTTTAAACAGAGGCTGGATGGGATTCTGTAGTAGTAGGTTCTTATGCTTGACCAAGGGTTAGACTAGATTATCCCTAAGATCGTTTCCAACCCTTGCATTCTGTGTTTCTAGGAGATGGGTTGTCTTTGAGGTTGAGAAACACTGCTTTAAAATAAGTGCATCAGGAGCTGTAGAGATTTTAGTTAGTCCTTGGACTGCAATAAAAAACAAGTTTTAAAGTCTCCAAGAGCAGATTTCATTGTTAGAAGATCCTTTGCTTACATTTGTTTCTGAGGAAACTAAACCCAAATAGTTTCAGTTTACAGATTCAAATAGCTGCAATTCCAGCTGTGGTTTTTAGAGGTTACAGGACCTGGGGTTTCGTCATCTAAAGTAATTTGTACATCCCAGCTCTCTTTCCAGATACTATTAACTCCCAGATCCTGTCACCCTGAGCCAATATGTTCAGGAGTAATGAATTATAGGGATTGCAATCCACATCTGGAAGGCCTGCTCTAGGGTGCAGTCTCTCAAAAGTCTGCAAGAAAACCCCATCACCAAATAAGGAAAGTAATTATGTGGATGATGACGATGTTTATTAAACTTGTAAGCCACCCAAGTCTTAATGACCCTGGGCAGCTTACAACAAAGAAATTACAATAAAGTAAATAAAAAATAAAGATAAAAGATGGCAAGTGCAATGAAGTGAGGGGTTTCACTCTCCCTCACCAAATATATGGGGCTTGTGAGATTTTTCATAACATTGAAAATAACTCCTTAAAGGCTGCTTGCTTATTTCAAATAGTCTTTTAAAGTTTCAGATTTTTCAGTAATAATGCAGTGTGGTTGATCACACTCTCCCAAAGGTTGATGTCATGTCCTAAAAGCTGTTTGATTCCTGGGTTGCTGCCAGAGGTGCGGCTTCTCTTCTTTCTCTGACCTTAGGCTGCACAGAAATGGAGCTATCTCCTTTTGAATATTTCAACAATATGAATTTGATCAGGATGTCTCTAAACTGAGTTTATAGACTATTGCATCAAATGTGGTTTGCACAACAGTGTTTTGTTGAAAAAGTCATAGTTGCCTGGATTCACACAACATACTAAGCCAAAACCAAGTACCCCACAATACAGTTTAGCCTGATGTGTGTGAACTCCATAAATGGTAACTACCTAATGACTATAGGACAACAGTCTAATGGAGAGCAGTTAGCTTGGGTATAAAAGCCAGATTTAAATTCCTTAGAACCTTGAAATAGGAAGCCAAAGGCAATAAAGACATGAGATACAGGGGAAAAAGTAATTATAGCCAAATGGTTTAAACCAACACTATTTACTGTACTGTTTCATAATTTTCTATCCTTGTGAACCATCCTAGCTTCTACCACACCCATCCACTACATCATACATGCATTGTAATTATAACACATTACATGGAATGCATATATTCTATGTAATATACTCAAAGTTTGGTAGGGCCACCAGGAATCAGATTTCAGAGATACCAGTTGGCCAATTCAGATTTATTATCCCTGAATATCATGTTACATGTTTGGGGCTGCTACTTCCACTGAACCAGAACAGTTTGTAGTGAACTTCTGACAGAACCTTTCTGTTCAATGTCAGTACTGTTGGTCATCCAAAGAACTCCAAAGAGTTAAGGATGCTAAAATGCTAACACGCATTTTCTTGTAGGTCATAGAAAGTACACAAAGTCAGACCTAATATAGTCTGTTTTAAGGAAAGGTGCCAGAATTGGGTGTGTAATTTTGAAGAAACACTCTTAAAGTTCTAGACTCTACTGTGGGTTAATCACAGGTAACAGCATACTTCCACTGGAGTTTCCTGGGTTAATTACGTTGGTTTGATTTCATTCTTAGATGAAAAGAGAGTGATGATGACCTTGTCAGGGACTGTTGATTATAAAACAGAATTTGAAATGAGTTCAAGATAACCAGTCCCTAAATTTAAGGCAGCATACCACCTTTCTGGATTTCCTAGGCAAACTTATGTTAATATTTCTCAGTTCTCTTGTCTTTTTGGCCAGAAGTGTCCACAGAGGTCTCCAGGAATACTCTTTTCCATAACTACAGATTTGATTTCTGATGAATGTTCCAACTCACATGTCCTTATTTTGGCTTCTAGGAGAACTACTGAGGCACCTGTTGCCCCTGTCAAGCAAGGCATATCATGATTTCTTTTGGAGGAATTGCTGCCAAGCTGGAAAGGGACCGTCTGCGGGCTGAGGGTGTGGGTAATCACCAGAATGCTGTGAAGTACCTTGGTCAAGATTACGATACCCTGAAGCAAGAATGTTTGGAAAGTGGAACATTATTTGAAGACCCTCTATTTCCTGCTGTTCCCTCAGTCCTTGGCTTCAAAGAACTGGGCCCTAATTCTGGCAAAACCCGTGGAGTGCACTGGAAGCGCCCCTCTGTGAGTACCTATGTGCCAAAGAATCCTTTGGTGGTGGGGTGATTTGACATTGTGCTCTGCATTGAAATATAGCATAGCAGATTTAATTGTGGTTCATTGAACCACTTCTAATATATTTAGCAAAACTTATTTTAACAGACTCACTTTAGTAGACTTCAGATGCAATGGACAGAATTTTTGTCTGGACAGCCTCACAAAATAACAGACAAATTGCATCCAAAATAATTTGGACCAAGCATTAAAGGTAGACTGCAGCAAATGATGTATTTTTGGATTTAAAGGACATTCAGGAGTTAAAATTTAACAACAACCTCTTGAATAAACCATTAAAACAAGGTTTTACTTTAGTTATTTTTATGGTCTCTGCCCATATCCTTATTTGTATTTTTTTTCCTGTTTAAACCTTGTGGTTTGATTGGTTCTGAGATAAAGCCAAATTTCAAAAGCATCTGTGCTTTTCACAAAGTATGGATATGTGCCAACTCCAATTTGAACTTAAGGACTGATTACAATACCATTCAGTAACTGGGGTGATGTATTATATTAAGTCATTCAACTATGCAGTATATCACAAATGGCCTGGTTAGTATTCTGCAGTGTTTCTCAACCTCAGCAACTTTAAGATGTGTATATTC